GGAGAGTTTCTGCTTCAGTTTGTTTTCAGCGACACCACGCTCACCACACTAAGGACAAACCTCCTGTTCCCTTCTCACAAGTTGAGTGTCTCAGCACCGAGCGCTGTCAGAGCAAATTGCGAGGACCTGCTCTTAGTCACTTTAATTAGAAACTGAGATGCTCCCAGAGGAAGATTAGTTAAGAGCTAAATCACCTTTCAGAAATTGCTATTCTTTTCCACTCCCCACAGGAGTCCAGACATCTTGTGGCTCCCTCAGCTCTGGAAAGTAGTACTTAGGCCCAGAGTTTTTAAATTTTCTTTTCCCAGTCCATTTTCTCTCCAACAACACGGCACGCTTGGCATTCTTTCCTAGAAAAACACAGTATTTAACTGCAGTGCCTGGTGAGTCTGATCACTGGCTGTCTCTATAAAATATGCAAATTCAGAGTCAATTCAGGGCCAGGCACCTTTAAACAAAAATGGTGAGATAAATGCAATCAAGTTACAATTACTTTTTTTAAGAGAGCACAGGGCACACACTCAGTAAATATTAGTTCCAAACATGCCTGCATGTTTAGAGGGGATCAAGGTGCTGAGTACAGTCGTGACATGTTCATTTTCCAAGAGCTTCAGCTACCCCACACATTACTCTTTGCCCTTCCACTTCTTTTGTCGTGATTCAGTGCCCAGGTCAAGGATAATTATAAGTTTTCCTCAGACCAGGGTGTGATAGCCGAGCATTTCTCATTAAATTATTCAAAGTTAAAAGTATCAATTTTTTTTATTCATCTCTCCTCTATAAAGATGATAAAGTGTGATGGCTGAGACGTTGATCTCTGCTGACGAGCAAGACTGGGGGGGTCATAATTCATCTGAGGTGAACCCCTGGGAATGATGGTGTTCTTACCCTTCTGTGCAGGCAGTGAGGACAACTCTGTGCTGTAGGGACACCCCTGCAGAACATGCCTTGCAAGATAAATGTTGGATAACAGTTCTCTCTTTGGAGGACAGGTTGGCTTTTCCTGTTTTCTCTTTTCCTGATGCAGTTTCTGTTGTTAGAAATTCTGCATGAAACCAGTGTTTCTCTCTGAATTGAAGAAAATGAAATGAAGAAACAGGTGTAAATTAGCTCTAGGCCAAACTTTGACCTGTTTTCTCGGGTAAAAATCTTAGAAGTAGGTCAATGGGAGTATTTTATGTGGTTTTATGTTTACTTTGGGTGTGATTATAAGGTTAACTGTCCCAGCTGTCTGGGTTGTCCTTTATAATAACATACCAGAAGAGAAAAGGCTTTCTAAGAAAAAAAGAGTGAATTATCAAGAGCTGTACTTGGACATCAGGCAAAATACAGATAGATTCCTCACTAGTGAAAAGTACAGATATTTCTGAGTTGCTTCCAGCACAGACCCTTAAATACAACAACAAATGTAAGGTTGTCAAATATCTTATCCTACATGGTCCTTGAACACCAGAAAAGCTCCAGCTCAAAGCAGCTCTTGCAGTTAACTGCCCTAAAATATTTAGGCACATGCAATCCTGCTGCACCCCTGGGTTGTCACCGAGCAGCTACCAGAGCTGGAATGGTTTCCACTTGATCCCAGCAACAACTGCTTAAGCCATCGCCAGCTCATTTTTTCAGGTTGCTTAATATTTCAAGAGATTTAATTCAACATTCAGGAAATCCCCAGACTGTGAAAGTGTAATGTGCTCTCTGGTACTGCGAGTCCTCACTGAACAAAAGCACAGCTCAGAAGTGGGTTTTTTGGATGTCTAGTCCTTACTTGACCTCAGTAAGACTCGAGTGCAGGTTTAAAACTTAAGTGCTCCCTCGAACAGCTCCAGTTTAGAGAAGCACTCGTGCATATGGTTAATTATTTATTTTAACCATGTTAGTCCTCCTGGCCTCACTGGAACTGCTGCTGAGGTGAAAGCTAATGCTGGGGATAAGGAGTGTGTTTGTGTGTGTGCAATATATGTTTCCAAAATTTGGACACCACTGAAATCAATTAAATTCGTAATGCTGATATTTTTTTTACACCAGGCATTTTGCTGCTTTAGAGGCCTCTGCCTCCCTGTCAGATGTGTTGATGATATATTTTCTAGCTGTTATTGTTTTCTCTTGTAGTAAACTTCATGCAATCCAGGGAATTCATTCCCTCAACACGTCTCCTGCATTATTCTTGTGTCCCTCATCTTGTCTACTTCTTAAACTTCAAACCATGCTGGAAGGAATTAGTTTTAAGATTCATGTAGCACTGTATCTCTCAGAGGAGCCCAGGATGATATGTTCAGTTCCTTCCAGCTTTTGGTACGTTGTTATGCTGATGCATCAAAGCTGAGGGGGAGAGGTTCTTAATTATGAACCTCTTTTTCAACCTTGTGTGGTCACAGAATTGATTTCTTGGGATTGGTTTAAATTTTAATGTAGCTTGTAAAACTGGGCCATAAAATTTGTTTGGAACTCTTCAGTACTGGCCTTCTGTTCCAGATCAGTGAAAAAGTGATGAATCAAAATGATAGATGCACATGTTTATGTTAGTTAGTCCCATAAGAACAGCTACCCTGAGAACTTCTGCATCCTGGCACTTTAGGTATTTTGGGTTTCTGACATGCCTTTGTTTGTGATTCCTTTCTAAGTATCTTTACTCTGTATCTGCCCCACTTTGTCTCCTGGCATTGCTCCTCCTCAGCATTCACTGCAGCACTTTCCAACTTCAGTAGTATTTTCTGAGAGTAACACATGAACTTTTCACTGACTGAAGGTCAAAACTGACTTGGAGAACAGATGGAGTGTGGGAGGAGGAACCTTTGCCACCCATTGAGCATTAACACCTGCTTATTTGTTACATCTGTCCACAGCATCGTAGAGGCTCCA